TGTGTGTGTGTGTGTGTGTGTGTGTGTGTGTGTAGACGTGCTCAGGAGGACACAGTCAAGGGCCCTTCAGTGCTACGTTGCACAGAGATCTGCTGAGTCCACTAGTAGGAGGATTTATGAAATAAAAGAATGTGACAAAGATGGAAGAAGTGGGAGGAAAGATGACAGCGAGAGGCTACAGGTCAGGTAACTATAATAAAAAGAGAAAGGTTAGTGCATGCAGTCCTTTTCCTGCCTACAATGGATGTTAAATATGTGTCTCATGGCTCATGCTCTAAGAGAGGAAAAGGAGGGGAGGTACGACTAAATTACAAATGAGCTGATAATTCCCGGCCTCGGTGGTTAACTCCCTCACACCGTTTCTGAAATCCTCCTTCAATCCTCGCGCCAAGATGCTGCGGTGTGAAATCTGAAAATGTCGACATCGTCAACCCCCTGCTCCTCCAGCGGGGGTCACAGGGACGCCCATCTCCCAAGCCTGGTTAATTAAGGGGATTTTGTTTTAAAGAGTCTGGCTGCCTCTCAATGCATCTTGAAATAGACTCGCCGCTCATTCTCCACATCGGCAGACCTGGAATGTGTTTGACCTGCATCTCCCTAAATTCCATCTGGGGTTTGTTAGACATAAGGAAATGCAGAATTGGCAGAAAGTATCTCGACTAATGGCGCAGAAAAGTGTGTGTGTGACTGAACAATGAAGTGAGATAAGGGGCTGGCATGCTACTCCTGCAAAAAAGTGTTAAAACTGGCCATAATGAGGAACTATCGTGGGTGGTTGGAGTACATTATAGATTGGTCTCACTGTAGTGAACTCATATCAGTGTGTGAGCTAAATGCACAAAGATTTAAGTTAGATAGTAGCTTAACCCAAAACCTCTGCCAAAAACATCATTTGTGTTTCTGGAAGCCCCTGAGATGCCTCTATTCACACTAATGACATTTGGCACTCCTTCTATGAGGACTTTTGCTCATTTCGGATCCAGCAGTCTGGCAACCCAGGGGGCCAAACACAAACATCCCTGTGGGGGGGCTCGAGAACATGTAGGCGGAGGAGGGGTTGAAAGGATGGACATGGAGCCGTCTCAGAGCTCCTGATGTGCTCTTTTTGGAGGAAAGCCACTATCATTACCGACAAGTTGGAGGCAAAGCGTCCTTAAAGACAGTCAGTTAAATAAGCAGGGAGAGATACAAAGGATGTCCTCAGATCTGATGTTTGAGGAAGATAACAGGGTTTGCAGACGAGGATGATACACACCATTTCCTCCAGGAAACACTAACGCACACAAGCACTGTCATCGTGAGATGTGACGGTTTCTCCCTATTATTGGAATGTCATTTTACTTACAGCGCAGCCTGCAGATCCTGCCCTTATTCATCACCAGCTTTGTGTGTGTGTGTGTGTGTTTACTCAATTGTGTTTGTGGTCTAAAAGAAACAAGAAGCAGTGACTCGTGCTCATCGACCTCCCTCTCGTCTTCAGATCCATCCGTCCTGTCTAATAATAGTTTCCAAGTCAACAATAAACCCAAAGGATCCTTTGTGTTTCTGTTCATTGCTGATGAAAAATCTACAGAGCAAAAGCAATTCTACTGAAAGCCATTTATCAAAACATCTTTATATATATCTAAAACCCTGTTAAGATGCTGAGGATCAACATTATTTAAATCAAATCCATTTAAAAAAAAAAGGGTTTTTTAAATATTGAAAGTGCCTGCCGCTAAAATGTTTTCAATACGTCTATTAAAAAGCTTTCCTTCCATCTCTTGGTTGATGTTAGATAAGAGGTACTCCATTTCGAGGCAGCCATTAAATATTGCCACTAAACTGAAATCACTTTTTTCCCATTCTCGTGAAATAACAAGTAATAATAGAAAACTGTCTGAATCATTAGGTTCATTTGGTAAAATGCCAAATGTTTGCTTCAGTCATTCAACATTAAAATGGGGCCACATTTGCCACACACACACACACACTTGCTTGATATCACTCACATCTCCATTAAGCTGTAAATCCAAGCACACTTTTACATCTAAATCAACTAACTCTTAATGGTGGTTATAAAGGGGGAGGTTATTGATGTGTCATTTAAACAGGAAGGCCTGTTAGTAGGTGTGTGTGTGGGTTGTTATAGCAAATTCCACGGCAAGAACAAGACTTATTTTACACACATAAAAACACACACCTGACCTTTTCAAAATCCTTCTGACATTTACAGGGCCGGTTGAAAGGGGCGAGGACAGCTCATTTACATAAAGATAGGGCCTAACGGAGACAGCCATTAACACAAAAAGAAAACCAAGACCGAAGCCCCTCGCTCCGCTGGGACTAATGAGATACTAAGGACTTGCTTTTTCCGTCTTTTATTATTAGGGAGGGTGAATAACAAACTCTTCTCATTAACCATTAATCAAATTCCCCTTAATGGACAAAGTGTGGTGCTCTCTCTCTCTCTGTGTTGTAATGATGAATGGTCTCAGGCTTGGCAGGACTTCACTGTTCACAATCTCTCCAATAGAAGGAGTAAATACTTTGAGCTGTTGCACAAGAGGGACTGCCAAAAGAAACAACACTTGATAGTTTTGATTGACTTTGTATGTGGGAGAGCGGGTGGTGTTGAAATGCTGGGAAATTACCAGATATTTATGGGAATATATTTTAAAAAACAACACCGTTTCCGGGGGGCTGGTATTGCTTTGGCTGACAATAACTCCAACAGCCAGGGTGACAGAGCATGGTGAGGTCACATGTGGTTTATTTTCATGTCTGTCTGCATGTTGCTGATGTCACAAACAGCATGGCCTTCAGTCCAAAGAGAGGCTGGGAGGGAGGCTATTTGAATAACCCAACGTGTACCGTCACTCAAACAAAAGCAGTGGACAGGAGAGAATGAAACGTAGATGAAATAAAGAAGAGACGAGAACAAGGCCTCCCTGTTTGAACTCGGGGTGGGGGAGGGAGCGAGGGATGGCGGGAATTAAGGAGTTTTTCGGGGTGGCGGGTGGGGAAAGAGGGGAGGTGGGGCGTCGGTTGTCTTAATTAGACGCTGGCCGTTAAGTTTTCCTGAAACTGAGCCACGCACTGCAGCAGCCGCCGCCACCTGTTTCCTGGAAAACTGAGGGGAGCCACCACCAGGAGAAGCGTTGCATCTGAATCAGCTGAGCGGCAGGTATCAGGCAAACATTGGTTTACGTGTGAGCAGAGAGAGAAGCAGCCTCCTCCCCCGGCTCTGACCCCGCAGGCTCAAAAGTTTCTCAGGCAGCCAGGCAGACCCCCCCCCACCTCCAAACACGCAGCTTACTCAGCCATAAACACAATGCCATAGCCTCATACCCCCCATAATGAACTCCCCCTCACATAAGCCCTCCCTTCTTCCAATAAAAACATCTCCATGGTAATGGGCCTAGCCTTTCTGACCCACATCCATGGGCCCTCACAACTTTGACTCAGGGGGGGTGGGAGTCTACTATCATAGTGTAATTTTGGGAGCTTAAACTAGACCCCCACCTGCCAGTTTATATTAAGTTTGGTGTATATATGCAACTACAGAAGCCTTCCTTGATTAAAACCCATCAACCTTAATATTGAATGTTTTACATTGCAGCAAAGGGCCAACTTTGCAGAGAATTAAATTAAATTCTCCGAGGGTAGAAGGTGGAGGTAAGTGGATACAGTGCAGCTTGAGAGGTAGAGGGGAATGCTAAATAGACAAGTGAAGAGTTCCAGCCCTCAAGTTGCTTCACTATTACCCATAAGGGGTCAAAGGTCGACTCTGGAAAAACACGACTTAAATGAAAGAAAAACTAAAAGCAATGTAGTGGCTAAGCCTTGTGCTTTTCCTCGCTTATAAATATGTAAACTCTTTTGTTTACCCCACTTTTCCCCCTCCCCTAAGAGCACTTCATGTTCAGTAAAATTGGACAAAAAAGGTCCATGTCATGAATAAGTCAGAAGAGTCTTAATTAAAACAGCATCACGATCAAATACATTAGTGTACACTTCTGAACATGTATAATGTAGCTGTGCCACAGATCTAGATCTAGTCCTACATTCTTGCCCTAATTACTGCACAAAACAAATAGCTGGCCCAGCGAGGAAGCAAAGGAAATGTTGAACTGGTTTCATGCCACACACATTCATATGTTAATGGCTTACCTGCATGCCAGAAATGTTTTCTATTGTTTATGGGCCGGCTCACCTGTAGGCTACCTGGACTCAAGTGGACTGAAAAAGAGCTGATTAATGAATATGTTTACACAGCCAGGGTGGCCTGTTGCCTTATTTAAAGTAATAGCAACACATTTCCAATAAAGGGAGGGAGTGGTTCACTGAATACAAAGTGTGTAGAAGTAACAAGTATACCATAAATAAGCAGTGCTCATCAGAGAGAATTATTGAGTTTCATGTTGTTGTCCCGCTCCCCTCTCTGTGTACATTAGGAGCGGTTTCATCCCGATGTTGCACAAGTGAAGTGTAACTAATAGAAGATGAAGTGTGGACAGTGGGAAGAAAAGAAGAAGGGGGACGTGAATAAGAGTGGCTTCAGGCGAAATAGTACCAAGGACAGACTGGCTCGGTTTAAACGAGGGAAAAGACTGTAATATCGAGGCCAGAAGGCACCTGGGAAAAACACCTTGCTACACAGAGCCACACCTTAGAAAACTAAACATGGCGTTGAGTCATCGACCGAAACTTGGTTCAAAGGGCTGATTTATGAACGAAAACACGGAAATAATGAAGAGAAAAGAAAAGACGAAACATCTTTAAGTATAATTGGACGACACTGTTATAAAAAGTGTTATATTTTAGGGGTTTAAGATCCAAACACCTCGCCACTACAGCGAGTTAGGAAATCACCTGCTGGATTTCAGCTCCTGTCACCTCCCTGACAGGTGTGTTAGTCAGGCTTTTACTCTTAAATTATTAAAGCTCTAAGAAAGAAATAGAAGACAGAGAGCTGCCCACAACCAGCTGGACACTATTAAGTTTGTATCATGTCTTACCGTGTTGAAGAACTATCGACGCCACCAGGCAGAGCAGTCCGATCATTTTGGAGCAGTCATGCCAGTTTCGGGCGTCATGTCTCGCCATGGTGCTTTACGGTCCCCTGTTTTTGAAAACCAGGCAGTCTCTTCGGGATAAACGTACAGTCAAAACCTTCAGACGCGCGACAGTTTCTGCGTAAAAGCGCACCAATTCAAGGCGGAATAAACTTGTTTGTCTTCAGGACAGAGCGAGAGTCCGGCAGAGGGGTCGTTAGCTGCGCCTTTAAGGCGGAGTGTGTTGAAATAAATGAAAATCCTGCTGAATTGTTCCCGGCAGCAGCAGCAGCAGGTGAATATCCCCTCACAGCTGGTGCTCTGCGTGTAATGAAGTGCTCCTGCGCTCAGTCTACTCCAACAACTAGTTCCTGCGAGCTCGCGACTGTCCGACTGGGTGAGTGACTGTGTGATGTCATCGGAGGCGTCACAGCCCTCTGCCCCAAAACCAATTAGGACCAGCAACAGGAGGGGGGTCTGGGAGCAACTTGTTGAACCCCCTAAGCATTTCCCCCCTTAGAAAACACAACATAGATTTATATATCAACTACATTTGCACCGCAGGTTTCACTGTGATTTCTGCCAGACATGGACATTGTGCAAAAGCGTTATTCATATCCAGGAATATCTCTATAGCTCTATATGGGGATATTTACAAGTTCCTGATCAGCTACGTTCATCCATTGTTATCTTTAAGTAGCCGACATTTGATCAAAATCCGGCCTGACTGGTTCTTATTGAAACCAAATTAGAATATGGATTTGCTAAACTGAGACAAATATATACCTCTACCTTTTAGGTGACGGTACAACCTTGCTGATGTATCTGATATAGTTTATTATTCTTTGTACTTTTATTTATGCTTTTTTTCTATATGTTTTGTCTATTTGTGTGCTATTTCTCTCTTACTCTTACTTATTGTATTGTTTTGTGACTTTTATTTACTATGCTTTGTTTTTCCGGGGTGGGAAGGGTAAAACAATTGACAATACGCAAAATGTTGTATTTTATTTTGTACAACCGGATATCAAAGCTGCAATGTTGTTGATGAAAAAGGACAATAACAATAGATCACTATGAAGCCACCTCTCTAAATGCATATAGAACATTCTACAGTGTATTTGAATATCATCCACAGGAAAAATGGCATTCAACTTTAAAACAATGTAAGTACATTTGTTTCTGTACTATTTCAAAGTGGTTGAAACAGATGATTCTTGCGCCCTCTGCAGTTGGTTTCTGCACACACACACCATTGAGATTAGCTCATATAAATAAACCCCAGACCAACAGATGCCAAAACCAATAAACATCCATGAATGAACGCATAAAGAAATAATCCAGTGGCATTCAGCAAAATCAAACCAAGAGGAAACAGCTTCTCGTGTATCTATTTGCAGACCCTCTTGTTGATGAGATTTTACTTTTCTTCTTCCACAAAATAACTTCCAATTCTTTCCCTCTGAGGGAGGGTGCATACTAGCATAGCAAAGGCATTATCTGGTTTAGGTCTAATCCCTGCGCCCAAGTGTTTTGCAGCCAATGTAATTACATCTCCATAAATCCCACAGTTTAAACTGCTCTGTTCCTTCTGTTCTCTTCAATTTCCAGATTCCCCTCCAGTGTCACCCTCTTATTTCCAGATTGTATTTCTGGAGACGCTGATTACGATCAGAGGTCAGACAATGTTCTGCACACCAGAAAAAACAAATGAATAGCTTTTTTTGGACGTGTATATTTTCACAGAGACAGGATGAGTTTCATTTTTCTTCCCCACTCCTCTCCCGCTGTAAATCCAGAGACTGTGAAAGCATCTGGAGAAAGCAGCTGTGGGTTTTAAATGCCAACAGTATTTTTGCATAGCCATATTTAAATTTGCATCCGTCTTTTTTGGCCCTGTAGCCGAGCGTTTGAGCACCAACAGCAGTCAGAGCAGGGACCACCCGTACAACCACTGCCACCACAAAATGTTATGCATTGCAACGGCCTCCAAATGGGGGATTTCATTCCTTTTCCTTCCACTCATCAATTTTTCATACCCATACCAAATCGACCTTCACACTTTAGACTTTACTGCTACCACCCACTTCTCTTATGCAGTGCATAACCTCTTTTTCCCTCGTCGTTTTACACCTTCCCATCCTTTAAACTTCACTTATTCCTTCTCCCTTTATCTCCCTCCCTCTTCCCCTCTTTGCGTGTCATTCGATTTCCTTTTGTCCACTCGTCCTTCACTCCTTGCAACCATTCATCCTGCCCTCCATCCTCGTGCTCTCAGGGGGTCTGTGGCAGTGATAATGAAGCACATAGTTAACAGATATTAGCTCATTGGCAGTGGATTCATTAGACAGAGCCAAGGCTTACAGTGATTATTTACCCGTGGAGGAAGGGCCACCGGATCAGCTCTGTGTTCTGTGTCAGCAGCCACAGGCTTCTTTGAAGTCACACTCTCTGCTCTCACACTTCTCCCCGGGTTTCTCTTTCTGTCTGAGCGCCTCTCACACATTTCTCCCCCCTTCCTGCTCTCCCACATGTTCTTCTTCCTTCCCTGTCATTAGACACCCACAATACATATCTGCATTCTCTCACTCTCCCTTCTCCATCGCTATCTCTCCTTGCCGCCCCCATTCACCCAATGGTAATTATGGAAAAATCTGTAGTGCTCAGAGGAGCTGATAATACCTTTAGCTTAATTAAAGACATATATGGGATGTAAAGACATGTAGCCCAGGGGTTGCCGTGCACCCACACTAACCCAAACTCTTTATGTCTGTCTTTTTCATCTCCCTCAATCCCTCGCTTTCTGCTATTCTTATCGTTTTTCTCCGTTTCACACACTCATTGTGATAGACACCAGTACATGCTCGTTCCTCTTGTCATTTTGAATGTTAAGGTCAGACGGTTTATAACTAATTACCCCAAATTTGAGTGCTTTGTAGGCCTACATTGTGGTGTAAGGCTATTTTAAGGTCAGTGTCAGGGTATTACCAGTATTTGTAATTAATCAGCATCAAACACACACACATGATAGCAATGAGGATGCTTGGTTCCTGTTGATTATCCCTGCCACATCCTGTTGGGCTGAATATGTGCAGCTAACTTGTTAACATTTCAGTCAGAGGCAGCAGTAATATTGCAGGAAAGTGAGCGATACTTCTGGAGCAGACATAGAAAGGTCACAGCGTTAGATAGACAGCTGGTGCAGAGGGAGTTTTTTAGTTCTTTACTTTCAAGGTGTGATGGAGTGTGCTTTTCTCACCGTTATCTTTGTGTCTTTCTTTGCGGTGTATTCCTCTTTCTCTGGCGTTCCAGGTAAGAAACTCTTTAGGTGTTTTTATAAATATGTTGCTAAACTGATCTACATGTTCCAGCTAATGTTGCTTTCCAAGTATCCAATGTATTCAAGCTAAGAAGTCAAACTCAATGATGCATTAAGTTTACCTGATGCAAGTTATGTATTTAATTAAGTATTTAATTCAACCCTTTCACATGTCCATGTTCGATGTATAAGTCATTGGTCGCTGTAGTTGTTCCTTGTGTCCATACTGGCTGCAAAAAGATCCCTTTACTGAAGTGGTTTTATTGAAAGTCATAGTCCTTGCTGTTTTTTTGTGGTCTGCATTAGAAGTGTTTTTGTTCCGATGTCAATTTCCTTTTGTACAAAGTTCTCTATTTTTGTTATTATCCATTTGCCGCTGCTCATCTGTCCAGAAAAACAGTTTGAGGAAATGTGTGGAAAACATCCATTAAGGTTCAGCTCAGTACATTTACTTAGCATGTGTCGAGGCACAGGCCGAGGAGGTGGAGTTGCAGCAATCTTTGACTCAAGTGTACTTATCAATACTAAACCAAAATTAAATTATACCTCCTTTGAAAGCCTTGTTTTTAGTCTTACATTTGAGATACTAGTACTTTTACCAAGTTAAAATTGCAACTTTTCCTCCACTACATCTCAGAGGCATATTTTACTCTCTCTATGCATCACCATCAATCTCTATCAAACTCCTTTTGTGATGAAAAAGGATAAAGTCTATCTTCATGTGTTGAGAAAAAACAGGACACAATTAAATAAATACAACATATTGATATTGCTACAAATGATGATCTTATGGAATATGATGCATTGCTGTAAATGTAACTGCCACTAACTACAAACATTACATACAGGTGTTAACATTTGCACTAACTTAAAACATCTACAGCCGTAAAATGCAACATACACATTAATGCAGGAGAAAAAAATAATACAAAAACATCACATATGATAGTTAAACAATGACGGGGTACATTTTAAAGCCTGCAGTCAATACTTTTAATGTATGTTCTTTGAGTACATTTTGCCGATGATACCTACTTTTGCCTGATTATGGTTTGAATGCAGGGCTTTTACTTAAAATCAAGTATTTTCACAGTGTGGCATCGATACATCTACTTAAGTAAAGGGAACTAAATACTTCTTCGACCAGCAAGACTCATGTTCTTCATCACTGATATTCAAATAGCTTTAAAACGAGGTCTCTTTGCAGCCAGTTTGGACATGAGGACCAATTACAGGAATGAGTAACTCTTGTTATGAGCATGGGAGTAAAACAGATTGGAAAACACGTCAACATTCACTCGAAAGAAAGGATCCAAATAGCGATCAGCACGTATAGACGTTTGGTGAATAACTCCCCTGTTTCAGTGCTTACATTCTTGTCCTCTCCCCCTCAGACTGGGAAGATGTTGTGGTGGCTAGAGAGGGTATTCCTACCGTCTTAATCTGTACTGACACAACGGTGAGAGGTGCGGTGGCCATTAACTGGAAGGTGCAGCCGGTTGGTCCGGAGAAAGAATGGAAACTGGTTCTCTCAGCCAATGAAAAAAAAGAGTTTTCTGGCAGCACCACAGAGAAATCCACGCGTCTGACTGACCCTAACTTTCAAGACTCCGGGGTTTTCTCCCTGTTCCTTCTTCCCAGATTCGAGGACAGGGGTCTCTACTCATGCATGTTAAAGCAAAAAGAGAGGAAACTGAAGGAAAAGATCATCCTCTTAGGCATCCTTAGAAGTAAAGAACACCAACTGTGCCCTCTATCAATGATACACTTGATCTGTGAAGCACTTTTCACAACACAGTCACACAGGGCTTTACAGAACAACAGGAACATTATACGCGATCAAGCAATAGATGCAATAGACAGTCTGTAAATAAACAGGCTTGATAATAGTCAAATAGGGATGAAAACTGTCCATCATAAACAGTTACACTGAGATAAACTGAAATAAAATGTACTGTTTTACTCTAATCATAGACTGCAAAGGTTATTGATAACATATTCATCTGCACAAGTATTTACAAATTATACACTCACAAAGAGATTAGAAAAGTGCACAATAAAAGTTTAGCTTTTCTTCAGAAACATATA